TTACTTGGGATGAAATGACAAATTCACCCCTGCCCCACCAAGGCCCACACTATAAAATCCATGAGAGCACATCAATGGCCCAATTTTCCAAATTGGGCCTAAACCCGTACATGAAACTACCCTTTAGAACCCATTCCGTACTTCATAACCCTACAGGGGTCAAGCTTGGTCAAAGTCAAGTCAAGGTCAAAGTCAACATCCAAGTCAAAGTCAAAGTCAACTCTCTGAGTTGACTCAACTCGTCGAGTTATTCCTTCAAATCGGCGAGTTCCCATAAACCACAGAATCGTGCCTTTTTAACAAAATCGGGTCATACTCACATCAACTCGTTGAGTTCCTTCGTGAACTCGTCGAGTTCTTCAGTCTGTTTACTCTTCTTAATGCATTAAGCCTTTATTCTTAAGATCTGAATCCAATACTCTAGATCTAGACTGGAAATACCTTTTAGAAGGGTAAAGTTTCCAACTTTACCCATTAATATCTTCCTAAAGAGAATAAGCTTAAACCCTAACGCAAAAAGGGCCAAGGTCTTAATCCAAGACCACCAAAATTACAAGGTAGACCATGAGGTCATAGATCCGGACCATAAGAATCAAAATATCACGTAAAGTCCTAAGCTTATGCACATGCATGGCCATTTGACGCTTGAAAGGCCAAAATGATGGCTTAAAGGTTGCATGGGACTTCCATGGCAATAAATTTGGCACCTTTATGCCATGAAAGTCCTTCAAGACTCTAGATCTGAAGTGCTTTCCATTTGGGACGTCCAACTCCCAAGAACCATATCATTTGGACCAAAAACAAGAAAAAAAGTGCTAAGAAGGAGATCTAATCAACTATTAGGCAAGTTTGAGACTTGATTACCAGAAAGTGATGAAAATGAAGTAAGGTTTCTGGATCTAGCAACTCTTCCTTGTTCCTTCAAACTTCCTTCCTTCCAAGAGCTTCAAACACCCACAAGAACACTCAAAAATGGCTCACAATCACTCACGATAGCATTAGGGTTTTGAGATCTAGGGTTAGGAATTTGGAGGCTGGAAATGAGGCTAAACCCTAGGGATTAAGTTGTTTAAATAGGGTGCAAAGTCCCGATTTTAGGGTTTCCCAAACTCTGTCCAACTCGTCGACTTGGTCCTCCCAAACTCGTCGAGTTGGTTCTTAAATTCCCGCATGCCTAAATTTTCCAACACGTCGAGTTCTCACCCTTGAACTCGACGATTTAGCCTCTTAATTGAAGATTATCTTTCCTTAATTAGCCTTCTGGATTCCGGGTGTTACACCGATCTTCGCTGGACTTTCTTCTTCTGAAGCGGAAGCAGATGTCGGATCGTCGATGATTGTTATGGAACTGGAATCTGATGCCGTTGATTTGATACGTGGATTCAAACCAGAAGTTGGCATAACACAGCAGTGGAGCCATCTTAGTAGTAAATCAATGACGAATCTGGAGACTAGGGTGCGGGAAGCATCGACTGTCATTGGTGTTGGATCGCCGGCTGAAGAGAGGAAAGAGAAGGGAACCAAATTCACAGAGGGAGGCGGTTTATTATGAAACCCTAGATATAGAGAGTGAGGGGGATAAAGATACGAGAATATGAAAGGAAAGAAGAGAGAGGGTGAGAAATTGTAGGAAATAGGTAAATTTGCAATTCCTGTTATGCCCTTCTGGCCATTTAAAAGTTACACTTTAATGCTAGTAGTTTTAGCATTTTTCATAAATCGTACGTTTAATAATAACCTTAGATCTAAATATTTAAATGGTCCAGATCTGTTATCGCGTTCTCAAACTTTTAGGTGTTCTCGTTTGATCCTACTCCTATATATATATATATATATATATATATATATAGATATATATATATATATATATATATATATATGTATATATATATATATATATATATAATATATATATATACACACACACACACACATATACATATAGGCTTAGGTTATTGTATTCTAACTATTTATTGTGTGGATGTAGGATTGATTGTGGACCAATCATTTTAGTTATTTTAGGAAAGTGATTAATAAATATAGATGAAAAATACAATCTAATTTAATTAGAAGGATATTTTAGTCAATTAAGATAGATTTAATACAAGAAAATTGCCTATTTTAAGGGATCATAGATTCTATTAATTTTTAAAAACTGATTTTTCGAATTATAATTATTTTAATTTGGACGTTCTGACAGAATATGTTTATGAGTATATTAAAAAATAAAACTATTCTTGAACCATAAAATAATAAAAATATTCTTGAACCATCAATTGAAGAATAAATTTTTTTTTACATTAATACTTATAGAATATGGGTAGCAATGACTAAGAATTACATTTATTGTTAAAGAATAAAACTAAAAACACTTTCAAATCAGGAAAAAAAATCACTTCCAATTTTGTGGTCCGTTCTTCAAGCATCAACTTCTGTGAAAACAAAACCAATTGTAGTTTAGAATCCAATAATGCATTAGCAAATGAAAAATAAAAAAAATAAATTCCTTTGGAAAAATATGGGAACTTGTGAATTGCACCAAAACCAATAACCAAGAATTGTAGAACATACATAAATCAGTGAGAAAATATCCATATTTCATTCCAACATAATTCAAATTCATGATTCCATTCCGATAGAATTGGAATTCAAGATTCAATTACCGTATGCATTCTGTTGGAATTACCTCATAAGTTTTACTTAACATTATCATTATGTGAAAAAAAAAAAAAAAAAAATCAAATCCCTAGCTTTCAACTTGCATTTAGCAAGTAAAACAAACTGGAATTACCTCATAAGCCTCGTTTTCTCAAAGCCTGCAAACATTTTCAAATTGAACAGATTAAAATAAAAAATCAAATCCATCTATTTCAATATGTTTTTCTAGGAACCGAACAATGCAAATGAGAAGAGGGAAAAAGAATTACCTGACATTTGATTCCACTAATTCAGTCGTTGGTATGTTTATAAGAAGGCTTATCACCCACATAAGGGATAGTCTTGCACAACATTCGATTCTGTCCAAAATCATAATAGAAGATATAGTGTTGAACTAAAATTAATGCACAATACATAATATTTGAAAAGGGTTAGACTTAATTACTTATACCATTTCTTTATCAGTCGGTCTTCAAGATTACCAATACATGAAACATGGAATGAAAGATAAACAACAATTGTTAAACTTTCACTCTCAACTTGGTGAAACCTAATCAATAAAAGATATATAAAATTAAAAACAAGGAATGAAATATGTAAGGAATCAAATTTTGTTTCTCCCATGGTAGATTGAATCGGTACACTCCTTTTTCTCTCGATATATATCTTCTTCATCATACATCTGATTTGTTGTTGATATCAAATGAGTATCATCTTTGCACGACTGTTTTGGAGTGATTTCCATATCGAGAGAAAGCAGGAGCCCTCACCCAATCTTTCCATCACCGATAGTGACGCAGGATGGTGATGATGATCACGACTGATGGGGATGGCGCAAGTAGTAGGTGTAATCCAAGATATGAGGTAGCTTCAAGGGGACTGGTTGAACAAAGTTGTGCCTACACCAGGTGTAGGATTCCTCTTCATTGATGTACGTAGATCGCAGAAGATGTGAAGTTGGCTCTCAAGGAGGATGATGCGCCAAGGGTAGATGGCGATTAGGGTTGGATTAATAAGATGATGTTGATGAGAGATGACGCACATAAGTTGATTTGTGGTTGTGGTCGCTGTCGGATCGATGGTTGTGGTAGGCGGCCAATATTTGGCTTTTGGGGAAAGAGAAAACGGTTGTAGATATAAACGGGGAGAAATTAGGTTAAAAGTCAATCTATCAATACCATGATTATAAGGAGTATTTGTGGAAGTTATTAATCAAATTACTAAATTACCCTTATTTAATTATTTAATGATTTAATTATTTATTTAATTTTGATTGGTCCACATTTATTCCTACCTTCACACAATAATTAGTTAGAATACTTGAACCAAGTTCTCTCTCTCTCTCTCTCTCTCTCTCTCTCTCTCTCTCTCTTTATATATATATATATATATATATATATATTATATATATATATATATATATATATATATATATATATATATATATATAGATATATATATCATGGTTCTAAAAAACGCGTCATGGCGCGCCTCAAGGCGTGCCATGGCGTGAGGCATGGTGTAGCCGTTACGAAAACGTCCAAGGCGGGTTTGTTAAGCGTGACGCCCAAATAACGTGTCAAGGCGCCTTATCGCGATATGGCGCGAGTTTTTTTTCAAGGCGCGAGTTTTTTTTGTTTTTTTTTTTAGATTTTTTTTTATCGGGACTAAAATAATTGAGTTTTGTTAACTTTTTATATTAAATATTAATATAACACTTCTAAAAACTTGATATACTTGATAAAAATCAATAATTATATGATTTATCTCTTGTAATATATAGAAAATAGTCACGCCTTGAAAAACGCCATGACTCGCCATGGCTTGTCATGACTTAACTTTTACCTTGCCGCCAAGTCACGCCTCACGTTATTTAGAACCTTGATATATATATATATATATATATATATATATAGATATATATATATATATATATATATATATATATATATATATATAAAATATGGGCAAATATGATATTTTGCTATTTAGGCATATATGAAATTCACTTTATTTTTTATTTTTATAATGCCATAGTGGGGCCTCTTAGTTATCATGGCACACCAAATCAAATGGCAATTTAGGTGCAACTTGAGGACAATGGTTATCAATTACTCAATATAACTTTTTTTTTCTTTCTACCGTGTATCAATTAGGAGAATCCTTATCTGTTATTCGTCTTTATATACCCACCATAGAATTTAAAGTGAATGTAGTACTAATTATACATTTCATTCGTCTGCCAAGTAGTTCTTGAACCTTTCCTTAGTAATATATTCTCTTCAGTTTTCGCTGATAATAACTTGGTTAATTATTTCAGTTGAATTCAACTAACATTTTGAATGGAATATGTGGAAGTGGAGCTTGGAGATGTAGATATCATTCAAAGCACTGTCCAAAGTCTTCTTGATTGTGTAGAAAATGAAAAGAATCGTAGCTACCAACTTCCACCATCTATTTACATGGTACCTAGGGTCTTTCGTGAACTCAGCCCAAGTTCTTTCAACCCTAGAGTTGTCTTTATTGGACCTCTTCACAGAGAAGATAAAAAACTGCAAGAATTTGAAAGATATAAAGCTTCTTGTGTGCATGATTTATTGCATCGTTTAGATACCCCAACAGAAGAGACATTGCAAGCATGTGTGCACAAGGTAAATGATTTAATAGACAGAATCAGGGCATGTTATGCGGGGATGATGAGTACTTATGGTGACGTTGACCTTGCCAAAAATGATGGTTATGGATGGTTGTTTCATACTCGAATTCATCAACAATTTTTCAAAAGGCCGACAAATTATGGGAAACATGCTTCTTCAACAACCTGTACTATTTGACCTACTCATACTAGAAAACCAAATTCCTTTCTTTGTCCTTAATGACATATATCAGTGTACTATTTTTAAATTAGGGTCTGATCAAGCTTCTCTTAGTAAGTTCATCTTACCTGTTCTAGATTTCATCGACATCTATTGAGGTTCAGGATCAGGCAATAATATTATTGGTACGGATACCAGTCCTGATCATATTCTTGGCCTTCTTCATGAACGTTACAGGTCACCATGCAATATTTCATCAGATTTGCCTAGTTCAATAATCCCATCTGCAGCAGAACTAGATATGGCAGGGGTAAAGTTTGAGCCTAACAGAAATGCAAAATGGTCGATGGCCATGGAAGTGAAATTTCGTAGGTTCCCGTGGCTTTTCTGGTTTTGGGGTAAGCCTACTTTTAGAATTCCTGTATTACAACTTCATGATTACTCTGAGTTGCTTTAAAGGAACCTCATGGCATATGAGCAGTCCTCTCTTAGTTGTAATTTCGTTACATCATATCTCATAGCCATGGATATGCTAGTCAATACTCAAAAGGATGTTGCCACGTTGGTAATTAAGATCCAAAGTCCTTCTCAACAATTTCGGTTCAGATGATCAGGCAGTTAGTATGTTGAACACTATATGCAAAGAAGTTACTCCTGTACATTTCTTTTATAGCCAACAGTGGAAAATATTGGATAGTCACTGCAATAGTTACTGGCCAAAAAATGTTGCATGGTTGAGGCGTACTTATTTCAATAGTCCATGGAATATCATAGCTCTACTTGCTGGAATCATCTTGTTTGCTCTTACCATCATTCAGACCATCTTTACCATCAAGGCCACATAATCCCATATATACTTGCTTTCATTTTATATATGTAATCATCTATCTTGTATTCTATCAGTTGTGCATGAGTCCGTGTATCTTGTTATAAATTAGCAATTTGGGACGAAATTTTCACTGCTTGTTTGTGGTGTCCATTTGCAATTTCTGGCAAGCAGTAAATACTTCTCATTACAATTATTCTTAGATTTACGATTATGCGAAAATTATATTTATGTGATTGATCATCCGCAACAAAATAAATGACATTTGATTTACTGGCATAGAAAAAGTATCACTAATTAAAACAAAAAAAATGCCACTAAAGACCCCTCGACTCAGTGGAAAAATACTACTAAAGACCTTTAGTGACACTTTTTTGTTGTGTCGCTACAACCCTCTTGGGTTTTAGTGACATTTTTTATGCCACTATAACACTTTTGCTTTTTGTGGCACATTTTCATGACATTATGTAATTGCTAAAATAAAAGCATTTATATTTGTAAATTTGGTAGAAATGTTTTTATAAATTTAAATGGAATATAAAATAAAATAACAATTAAAATAATAAATGGAAAACACAAAAACATTACTTGTATTAAAATTTAACTTGTCTTATAAGAATATTATCAATATTTAAGACAAAAATATCTTCCAAAATGCTTAATAAGATACAAGATCATTTTCTAATTTTGCAGCATTTTCAAATTGCTCTCTTGCTAATTGGATTGGATTAGAGTTGACTTCCCTGTTTTCTTCCTTAATTTCTGCCCACTTTTAACATTCATTTTTGTTCATGTGGGAACTTCATAGCCTTCCTGCTCATTAACAAAAGTAATATATATATATATATATATATATATATGAAATTTGATATTTTCTAACATAAGTAAATATTATGAGTGAAAAAGAAAGGTATAGACTAAAATGAAATATGTTATTCCAGGCTAACTAGCATATCCAAAAGGCTTCTAGCTCAACGGTATTAGGTGGCGTCCTCCCTCTTTGAGGTCGAGAGTTCAAGTCCCGTCGTAGACATAGATGAAATTTAGGTGTTAGTTTAAGAGTAGATTATATATTTATATTTTCCGGTTCAAAAGAAAAAATATAAAAATAACAGAAAAATAGAAACTTTAAATGAAGTTTAATGAACTAGTACCTGTTGAATGAATTACAAAAAAATGAGAATGTTTTGAGTAGAACAAGCTATCAAAACTAATGATTGCTGAACTTCTGATAGGATTGAGAATGTGTATAAGAAATTAATCCTTTAAGCAAGATAACCATAAAGCTAAGGCGGATGTGTATAAGAAATTAATCATTTACTCTTCAAAGAAAGCCTATAACAAATACCTCAAGTATCTCAAACATATAAAATTGAAATCTGGAAGAGGGTATGTTTGATGATTTAAACCCCGGTGTTATATCATGTGAAAATGGTATAAGTTATAAAATCTTACTTCCATAGGTAAGGTGTTATAGCATCCTACTTTCGAAGTAAGATGTTATAACTTCATACTTTCAATGATCAATGAAACAAACCAACTAGACACCATTTTCAGTTTAAAATATTGAAGAAAATCTGAATATACCTACATGAGGAGATTGGGTAGGAGGCATTGATCAATCCCATTTGAAGTCACCTTTTGACGCCTGATGCGAAGGGACAAATAAAAAAAGGGAGACATTGTCATCAGTAAAAAGTGTTGTTGATACAGATGGCGTGCAAGTACTTTTGCAAAATCTTGACGACCATCTTAATTTTCTTCAAAAAAAATCTAGTTCAAAACTACACATCGACATGACAAAGAAATGCTTAGCGATCTACAAATTTTTAACACCGTCCCATTCGAATCTTACGCTGCAACAACTCAAGCGTTTTTAAGGCACCAACGGAAAATTCAAGCAAATATAACTATTAGTTATTCTAGTTTTTAATGTATTTTTACTTTTAGAGCAAGATACTTTTTGATTTTTATATATTGTTCTTTTAGTTTTATTTATTAAAAATTTATTTTGTTTTAGAAAATATTAACTTTTTTTTTCAAAAAGTTGTATAAAATAAAATAAAAAAAACTTCTCTAATAAATGAAAGTTTTTTTTTGCCACTTGTCACACTTTCATTCAATTTGTCAAATGTCATTTTGTGGTTGTTTTGAATTATTTTTTTTCCACATGTTATTTTATTAGTTTTTCTATTTTATTAAATTCTACATAATAATTGCAATAAATGTAGTAATAAATGGATATTAATTTCACTAATAAACTTACATTTTAATTTCAGAATTCCCAAAATTAAAGCTCATTAGTTTCTTTTCTTTATTTAAATTATTGTTTAAATTTAAAAGATAAAAAACATTTCTATTATAATAATTCATTATTTTTCTTATTTTCTTATAAATTCAAACTTCTCAAATATTTTGACATTTATATTTAATTTTTTTTAAATTAACCCATTTAATACATAAGTCTCACATCTAATAAAAGAATATAGATAGATGTCTACAAATTTTGAACACACTCGTCCCATCCGAATATCAATTCCATATGTTGCAATTTTGACTTTTTCAAAGGACTTTTGAGGAGAAAACTTAAACTAAGAGGTTTGGATTTCTAAAGTTGGTTGGTAAATTTCACCACTTGATGTTTTTAATCATTTAGCAATGTAGTAATATTTTTTTAGTTACTCTATGTATCATTGACTTGTATTATATATGATAATAACCTATTCCATTCATTATATTTTTAATGGGATAAGATCAAGTTAATAAATAAACTACATTTTGGTACTGAAAGTAAAACTGAATAGCAACGTATTTTATTTTGGCTATTAATATAAGTGATATACTTTATTTTTAAGCATAATAGTTGTTCATTTATATCCAAAATAACATACTTATATGCACCAATAGTGGCCATATATAGTTTTAGGGAACAAATGAAACTTGTTAGAAAACCATGTAACATTTCTTATTATCATAAATATAAAGGGTTATGTCATTTTTAGTCGCTGAATTTTTCCGAGTTATAATTGGACACTAAACTTGTTTATTTTTTTAGTCACTATAATCGGTGATAGCTTGTTTATAACATAGAATAACTTCGTTAAGGTTATAATTAACCATTGAACTTTTGTGGGTGTTTTATTTTAGTCATTATATTTTGTTTAAGATACCATTAGTCACCGAAGTTGTTTAAAATTTTTATTTTAGTCACTTTTCCTTATTATATATATATATATATATATATATATATATATATATACAATTTTTTTTCCTTTTCTCTACAACTAAACTTGTTTTATCAATTATTTTAGAGTAAATTATATGAATGATCCCTGTGATTTAGGGTAGCGTGCACATTCAAACCTTCATTTTTTTTAACTCGGACGTTCCCCATGACTTTAAAAAATACTATTTTGTATGTTAGTGATTTTATCACCAACTATATTTTAGTGTAATGGACTTAACAAGTGTTTCAAGAATAATGTTTTAGTTATAATACAAGTTAGGAGGTGCGGGAGTGCACACTTGTATTTACTAAATATTTTAAGACAGTACAAGGTCAAATTTTTCATTCTTGAAAGATGAAAACCGTTTTAATTTATCCGTTGTTGGATAAGTCTGGCAGAACGACGCCTGTTTGAAACACATAAAAAACGCGAACGCTCTCTCTTCATCTTCTTCAAAATTGATTCTGATTTTATGCCTAAAATCTGAATTGCTACATCAGGAATTATCCAGATTGGATTTCGTGATACCCAAGGCATATAGGGTCGAAATATCAAAGAAGGAAAGTGTTTACACAATTCCTGTTTGTTATCCAGATTTCCCAGAACCCTAATTCGAATTCCCCAACATTGTCCTCCTCCACCCCATCGCTTTTGTCGCAGGAAGAAATGCACTCAATCACAATCGATAATTAGTTTCACTTTTGTCTACTCCATCTTTTGCATTCTGTTATCATTTTGATGTCTAGAACGTTAATGTCATCTTGATTCTGTTATCACTTTAAAAATACTATTTTGTCCTCCTCTACCCCATCGTTTTTGTCGCAGGAAGAAATGCACCCAATCACCATCGATAATTAGTTTCACTTTTGTCTACTCCATCATATGCATTCTGTTATCATTGTGATGTCTAGAACGTTAATGTCATCTTGATTATTTCCTTATATGTATTTTGTATTTCTATACTTCAAAGGAAATATTAGATAATAATCACTTAATATAGAATTAAGGCAGCCATCAAACCTCGTACTCGTATTCTCTTTGGTCTAACTAGTTCGTTTTTCCAATTGCTTCATACAAAAACATAGCCCTTATGTGTTGACAGAGGATCGAGTCCCGTTATTTAAGCTCCTAGAAGAAGACATACACTTATTCGTGTTTTCAAATGATTCACACGTACCACAATATTGTCTTCTTTGGACCACCCGATACGAAGACTTCGGAGGGGGTCACCCAAAGTGAAACTAACTTTTCCATGCTGATTGAATGCATTTACACCGACGACAAGAGCTGTAACATCCCAAAAATCGTGATTATTTTTATATTTTCAAATCATTCCAAAATCCATAAGTTACATCAAAACATTGTTTCTCAAAACCCTAAACATGAATCAAAGTATCCCAAAAT